CAGCTGCCCAGCCGCAGTGGGGGGACTGGCGGACCCTGCAGCTGTCCTGCAGCTGTACAGCAGGGGCGGGGGACACCTGCGGCTGCCCAGCCGCCGTGGGCAACTGGGCAACTCCCCGCAGCTGCCCAGATGCAGCGGGCAACAAGGGGACTCCCCACAGCTGCCCAGCCGCAGCCAGCAGCTGGGGAACCCTGAAGCTCCCAGCTGTCCAGGGGTGAGGGGACCCTGCAGCAGCCCAGCCCCCGGGCAGGGGGACCCCAGAGCTCCCACGCACCACAGCGGTGTGGGACATGGGAGCCCACAGCAGCAGTGGGTGGTGAACCCTCCTACCCCTTTTGTCAGGGATATTTTAAGTGAAAGTCAGGGACAGGTCATGGGGTTCCACGAAGTTTTGTTTATTGCCTGTGACCTGCCCATGACTTTTACTAAAAATATCCATGACAAAAAACTTAGCCTTAACCATAGGACATTATTTCTCTGCTCTTTCAAAAGCTAGGATTCAGTCTAATCCCCAGGGTAATCTTAAATATTATGAAGACTCTACCTCCTCAAAGTGCATTTCAGGGGCTATGTCATATGATCATGGTATCACAGGTTTTAAGATACAACAAATCTTTGAGACTTAGAGCACTTTTCTTGCTCAACCTGGATGGTTTCTGGAATAGAGCTTTTTGAATAACTGTGAAGCAGCAACAACTCTTTTTTGTTAAACATATGAGTTTGCAAAGACTTCCCTCTCCCCCTACAATACACACACACTCCTCATTTTGGGGACTTCATTTGAGAGTATGAGGTAGCTTGCTCTGGGCTTCAGCTTCAGAAATTTCATCTGAGATTTTCCCTTACCCTTAGTAGTAGGGCTGAGCAAGAAGTAGAGCCAACCAAGAAAAGCTTTTCCACTCCCATTAAAATGTTTGAGATTTCAATTTTTTTCCCATTCCTGACCAGGACAAAGCTGAGACTTTAGAAGTTTTTTGTTGAAAAACCCACCTACCCACGAATAATCAATGACCTACTAGTTAGAGTACTCACTAGGGATGTGAGAGACCCATGTTCAACTCTCTGTTTTCCCTGATTCAGACCAGGGACTGGAACCTGTCTCTCCCACATCCCAGTTGAGTGCCCTAACTGGGAAAAATAGATAAATCATCTTTGCTGACTTCTGGCCCAAATCCCTTAGAGAGGGGTAAGGGCTGGAGAGGGAGGGAGCATTATGAGGGAGACCACAGTTACAGTGCCTGGAGACATGTTCCCTGCATGTCTCCCTAATGAGAAAGTCAGCTACTTCATCACCTTCTGTAGGAGCACTGGAAGAGAGGGAGAGGGAAGGGGAGGCCCATTTCGCCTAAGGAAGGAGTTTTGAATTACACCTCTACCCTGATATAACGCTGTCCTCGGGAGCCAAAAAATCTTACCGCGTTATAGGTGAAACCGCGTTATATTGAACTTGCTTTGATCCAGCGGAGTGTGCAGCCCCGCCCCCCCGGAGCACTGCTTTACCGCATTATATCCAAATCCGTGTTATCTCGGGTCACGTTATATCGGGGTAGAGGTGTATTTAACCCCATATTCCCTGATGCTTAGTCCTGGCTGAACAGGGGTCAGCTGCTCAGAATAAGGAATAGCGGGACCTGAAGCAGCTGGAAACAGATGACCTGACAGTATATACAAGGCCACAGGAAAAGCTTGCACCTTTTTTAATATCTGAGGCATATTTGGCAGTGGAAGGCATTGGAAAACTGAGCCTTATATGAAAATTTTCTTTCTGGGAATGTCAATGTGTACTGTGTATGTCCCTCTTTCCCTAGTGCTTGGAGGAAGATTAAACTGTTGGATGTGGGCCAGAGTCTATGACTCAGGTTGAGGCTGCACCAACTTTGGCAAGACTGCCAAAGTCCTTTTTGTCTTTAGGGGTGTTTAGAATTGTTGTGTTTGCCAGCTACGAAACTTCTCCTTGACAGTAAACTCCCACTCTGCCTTAATCAAGTCCTCAGAAGCAGGTTGTAGAGGAACACAAAGCTCCTGATTTATGCTAGCTAGGAAATACTTCTGAGACACTCCCTGGATTTTATCTATGGGCCCTGCTCCTGGGGTTGTTCCAGCAGCATCTCCAGGGCTGCTAGAACTTTTCTTAGCATGACAGTGAAGAGGTGAAGAGGGAACAACCTCTGCTGAGGCTCCTCGTCTAGGATCACACAATCACAATCAGACAGTTCCCCTTCGTCAAACAAGGTGGCAATATAGAGGAACTTCTAGGATTAGAACCAGAGAGAAGCCAAAGTCATAAACTTTCAATCTGCATAATTTAACTGGGACATCGGGTGCTGTGGCGCGCGCCAGAAATCTCAGCTTCTTGGGAAGCTGAGGCTGGCAGATCGCTCAGGGGTTCTAGGCCACAGTGCACTATGCCAATTGGATGTCCAGTGCCACTGACAGCCTGGCCAGCAGTTGGCCAAAGAACTGTCTAGAACAACATGAATGATGTGTTGTGATGGGCGCGCTCTCTGTGTGGGCTGATGAACCGATTGATCAAGAATTTAACTGGGGCTTTTCTTCCTTTCACAAGGAACTGTCCCTCTATTGGCACTGCTTTTATGCTCAGAAGCCCCAGGACTTGTGCTCAATAAATGGACACTACCTCTTTAAAGGTTTCTCTGGGTAAAATGGCTCCAAAATGGCTCTGGGGAAAATGTATCTGCCATCTAGGCTTCATCCTGGGGCAAGGGTGTTTCCTGTGAGGGCCCTGGGCAGACCGAAGGTCTACTGCCTCTGCAAGTTTGGAGGCGAACACCTCTGGGAGTTCCTCCTGAAGGATGGTCCTAGCCCCTAACCCAGAGCCAATGATCCAGTCTGCCACTAAGCACTAGAAAAGGGGGAATGCCTACTTGGAATAAAAATGACCAATATCCACTGACCTAGATCTGCATATGAATGGAGTGAGACCACAGCAGACACTTCTGCAGCTCATGGGATCAGGTGTGCTGATACTGTGCTTCACTGAGTGCGTGTGTGGGGGTGAATTCCTTCACTTTTTTAGAGCCCTCAGAGATTCTTTGCACAAAGGTCTTTTATTCTTACTTTCCATAATTACACAATTTCATCCATAGCATGAAACATGACAGATCAGCAATCATGATAAAACAAACATAATTATAAAGGAATGCCCATAGTGCATTTGTTCTTCTACTAAAATTTCTAGAAACTGTGTACTACTGCCATATAAAACCTGTGGTAATATAAATCACTATCTTATCCAAAGCACACACCAAAACATGGATCATAGATTCTGTAAGTCACTATTACATGTTCATTTAATCAAATCATTACTATTTTCCATAGTTGTACTTTAACATTCTAAAGCTTTGCCATTTAAATAACTCTTAAGACCTTTCTACTTTCCCCAAACCTTTATAAATATTCATTAATAATTTATGTCAAACAAAGATATTACCTTTTCTTAAACAAGGATACCGGAATAGTTTTACTATTCCATAGTCATCAGCTGTAACCAAAACTTGACCATTAAAATTTCCATCTACAGAATTGATATCATTGATATCTGAATATTTGGGCCAGATTCCATTAACTTCAAGGCCATAAACACACGTCCATGAAGCCCATTGGACGCCTTTTAATTCTTCTTTATTTGTTACTTCTTTTCCACCTAAAAATAAATGCAAAGGCTTATTTTTAATAATTTACTCCTGCTTTTTCCTTTAATAAATTTGGAGCTAAAATTATCAAAAAATTACCAGAACTCAGATATAGCTCAGACTGAGTTGAAAATTGTACGGTAAAACTATATTTTTAAACATTCTTTTTATTATAGGCAGCACTGATGGCAACGTCTATAGTCAACATTGCTTAATGCTTTCTATTATAAGACCTAGTTTTCAATTGCATATAATTTTGCCAAACTTTTTGGCTGAAATTTTTCATAGGAGGTATCTGCCTCAGGCTGATTTTTTTTTTTTAAAAGATTCAGCAAAAATGGTTCAGCCATTTCCAAGAACAAAGGTAGGGGAAAATATGTTGTTTGGCCCCTGTTAAAGAAAAAACCCTTACAAACTTTTCATTGAGAAACCCTAGTGCCTCCATGATTTTGAGTAGGAACTTGAAAATCTACCAAATATGACCAAATTATACATCTCTGAAAAAAAACCTCAGTTTATACAGATTTGTTAGAAGTTGGTAACATTCTCCAATGATTCCACCTGCATTGAACATGCTCCATCCACACACAGCTCTTATATGCTGACTGGACTGAGAACACACCATCCCAGAGCTGCAGACATAGCTAGGGCCACTATAGTGCCAGGCACCGAAACTGAGAACAGGCAGACTTCTGTTCTCTCAATGCCCCCCTTCTGGTGTCCATGCAGGAGTAGGAAAAGCAGACTGACATGCTTAAATGCAAAGTAGTGAAGAGGGAGAGAGAAGGACAGGGGTGGGCTGGAATGGACAGAGCAGGGACAGGCTATGGGGGTACAGAAGGAAGGGGAAACAGAGACAAGTTGTGGAGGGCCATGTTATGGGCAAGGATAGCATGGTATTTACCAGAGGTGGTTTTTACCAGGTAAATCATGGTTTTTACTACCCCAGGAAAAACTAGTTAGTCCCAGTTTAAGGAATTTTCTATTTTTAAAACTGTTTAATTAATGCACACCACATTACATTTAGTTTCAGTTACATATTTGAATTGTGGTTAGATAAAACAGTAGATTAGGAGATTAATTTACGGTTGTACAAATAAAAAATAAAACTGCAGTGGAGGTAATACTAATATATGTAATTACAATACTAAACATTGGAAGGTCTGTATACATTTCAGTTTGGAACTTTCTTAAGGAAGTTATACATGTTATGACTCATTTAATTTTTCAATATCATATATACAAAAGTAAAAAAATTTGATTACATGAAAATGATAATACCCCAGAGCCGTAAGAATGAAGTGTTAAGCAATCAGAAGCATGAAGAGTTGCAATCTGCCAGTTGTGACACAGAGGCCCATTGGTGGTTCACGACTTTGTGTCAGCAACTCGTCAGGCCTGACGTATTCACTACACCTAACACGTTGTTTTCATGATATACACCCAAAAGGTGGAATGCAATATTTCGCTGGAAAACTAGTATCTCACTGATCATTAATATTCTTGTGTGATATATGTACGAGATGTGCACAAATAAGATATGTGCTAGAATTATGGTCTGAAAATGTGTTTGAGAAACAATGCATAAGCACAGTCTGCCCTAGACAAAGGATCATGTATTTGTTTGTCTGACCAGCCTGGTCCTCAGGCAGAGACAATTAAGGTATATTTACATACAAGCTAAACAGAGTAATCAACCTAGCAAGTGGGGGAAATAGCCTCTTGGCAGGTCTGAACCTCCAATGATAAGTAATTGAATCACCTGATAGTATACAATACTACTGTATTATAAAAGTGCATCAAGTATGATCTTTTATGAAAGCTAATGACACATTGGTGATTAATATAACTGTGAAATGTACATATTAAAACTATATGAGGAATTATGGATACTCAATAATATTATGCTTTAAAGTCAGTGAAAAACAAGGCGAGAAACAGGTTTTCTCCCAGACAGAAGGGAAGGCAGTTATAAACCTGTCTCCAATTAAATTAAGCAAGGTATGACCGAAAACAGTTTAAGACCCATTGACAGACAGATCAGCAGGGCAATGAGAAGTCCACAGGAACGGAAGAAAAGCATGAGGTCGTCCAAGTCTGGGGACAAAATAGTGAGTTTAGGAAGATATAAGGAGAGAGAAGAGGCTATCTTGGGATCCATCAGTGGACAGCACAAGGGGCCAGAGCTCTTGAAATCTGAGCAAGATGGATCTTTCAACCAAGGGAGTTGAAGTCTGTGGGAATCGAATATAAGTGAAAAACCTGCGTAGGCAAAGATCTTTCACCTGCAGCCCCTTGTACTTCTGTAGAAGGTCCTGACTTAAAGAAAGTCAGCCATGGATAAAAAGAAAAAGATTGGTAAGAAATCTACCTTGAACCCAATGCTGTAGATTGTTGAGTCAAGTCTTAGCCACTAAAAAATGTATTTTACTTTTATTTGCTTGCAACCAATTTGTCTTTGTCCCTTGTGCTTGAACTCACTTAAAACCTCTCTATTTTTGATTAAATAAACTTGTTTTGCTTTTATTCTAAATTAACCAAGTACTGTGTTCAACTTGAAGTGATTATTAACTCTATGGTGCTTCTGTCTCTTTAAAAGAGCAACAGGCCTTATTACTCCTTTGAACATTCCTGGAGAGAGCTGGACATTTCAGGGCAGATGGTTTGGGGAAAATTCGGACTGGGAATGTGTTGGGGTCACTTAGTTAGTAATAACCAAGGCTGCTGGAGACCAGAGTATGTCTGTCGCGTAATAAGCGGCTGCTAGAGTCAGAATTGCTGAACCAGAGCTGTTTGACACACAGACACACAGTGCATGCTTGTATGCTGTCTGGGAGTGTCCAGACAGGGAGCTACAGAAGCACAGCATTTTAAGGCACTCAAGGTTAGAGGACAAGTGGTGACACAACCTCTCACTGGTCTGGGTTGAACCCCAAAATCTGACATCAATCCAGGTCCATCTGGCCACACAGCATTCTATAGCAGAACACTGACTTTGATGTAGTGGACAGACGGAACCTATTCCTCAGTTTTGAATGGATGCATCCAAAGTTTGAAAAGATTCATTATATTCTTGCTGAACTTCCTGGACACTGATGCAATTGCACCACTAATTCTATAAAGTCAGATGAAATATCAGCATTCTTCAGATTTTTCCAATATTTTATAAGGGAAACTTTTCCCTTGATGGCAGATGAAAACATTGATTTTGGATACAGAGTTTGTTCTACTTAAATGAAAGTAAATATGGCAGAAAGTTGGGATTTTTGTTGAGCAACCACAGCCTTGCAATTTCTTCTTATTCAGATGACAATTTCTTTCTTGCGTATTTTGACTGAAGGAGGTTGACACAGGAGTAATTGCCTAATTAAATCTCTTTTTTACTTTTGCTTTGTGGGTGCAAGATCTTCATTTATCAATAGATCCAACCATACTTTGCATGCAACTCCCACTGTTGGTGTATCTCTTTGGAGTTTGTCAAGTGCCACACCAACTGGTTTCAACTGACGGACCAAATTCTTTGCTTCTTGGTAAATCCCTTGATTATTAATTATACTGATCACTTTATCTTCAAGTTCTGCCTCATGATCACTCATAATCCTGAGATAATGTGACCAATTTTTAACGTATGTTTCCTCATATATTATTTGTCTGTACCATTGTTGTCACCAGGGATTTGGGGTTTTACAGACCCTTGGCATTCTTTTAACCAGGCTCTAGGCTTATAAATCTATGTGTTTCATCAAAGTACTTGGTGTTTTGTCCAAGCAGATTTAGCTAATGTGATGCACATCTCTATGCAATCAAAGTGTCAGCATCTTGTGTCAAATCATTTCTCATACTTTGCATCTTTTTCTCACCTTGTATTAATGTACCTGCTTTTCCATGTAATTTGTTGTGTGCTTTCATGTTCAAGCCATCAGTACCTGCATCTAATAGTTCACCTGCTACCTGCTTTCAGTCGGGTGATTTGTAGCCTAGCTTTCTGCAGCTGATCATTGTATGAAAAGTTGGATGTTCAATAACAGAAAAGGGAATATTACAGCCATAAAAAAATTAGCAATTTTCAAGTCTATCTTTTGTTTCAGTTCTGGAATTGTTTTTATTACAAACTTGGTTGAAAAACTGTGGTACTTTCCTCCTCATTGTATTTGGCTGATCTGGATCAGTCTTTCTTTTGATGTACTTGGCAATGACAATGCAGTATTATCAGTACCTTCATCCTCAGAGTTTGAGTCCAAAACTCACATACGTTTAGCCAAAGTCAGTAGTTTTGATGTCTTCGTTTTTTCCACTGCATTTTGCAAAATGTTTTCTCATATGGTCTGCTATTTTTCCTTTGCAATTTCTGCATCTAAACTCTCTTTGCCATCTTCATGAATTTTCTCAAAATAGCCATGAATTGGGTCAAGTGGTCTTCCAACTTTGCTCATGCTGAAATATTTTGACTTGAGTCACTGTACTCACCAAGTTTAGTTGTAAGTAGTTGCACTCCAGCCAGCCAGCTCAAAAGACAGAGTACTGGACTAGACAGTTAGGCAGTTTACCTCAAACAGAACCTGAAACATCTGAATCTGGGAATTCTTTTCCTTTGCTAAACAAAGATATAATATTCATTGCTAAATAAAGAAGGGGAATTCCCAGATTGAGAAGTTTCAGTTTCTGTTTGAGGCAGGCAAGGCAACAACATACAGCTTTAGGTTGAGGCTCTTTCTTTGTTTTATTTTAGTTCCTTTAATTAATTACTGCAAAACTTTTACCAAATTGTTAAATATTTTTCAGTAATTTTCATTAGTATATTCTAATAATAATTTTATTTTCCCCAGTTTCCTGGTTTAAAATCTGTATTTACCAGCACCCTGTCCTAAAGTAATTTTTCTCAGGACATTGCAAACCTTGGCTATGCGAATGGGGGAAAAGGGGGCAGACTTGGGGAAATAGGGGAGAACAGGGGAAACACTCAACCCCTCCGTAATCTGATAGGAGACTTAGGAATCCCATTCTAATATTCCTCTGCTGTGAGCAAATAGTTGTGAAATCTACAGATAAAATGTCTATATTATCCTCCTATAGTGACTTGTCCACATACAGGGTAATGCCTACTACTACTACCAGTTATCTCCATTAACTCAATGGTAGGGGTTTTGGCTGTGGATCTATAGGTTCCAACCTCACTTATGACCCATGTGGGATTCAGTATGGTTCCACATGATATAATTTGGGGGTTTTTACGTTTGCTTTTTGGAAATTACATACAAAAAACTGTTATGTTAAACACATGTAAAGGTTGCAAGGTCAAGCACTCAAAAATAGAAAATGCCAGACTTAAGGTTGTCTGTGCCACTACAGTTCGCCCAAAATAATTAGACACTTGACAGTTTTGGCCTGTGTCTGAGATTGTACAGGTAAAATGGGAATAACATTATAATACCACTTTACCTGATGCTGTGAAGGTAAATTCATTAATGTTTTTCAAGCACTTGAATACTACAGTGATCAATGTAATAGAAAATCCCATAAGGAAATTAATAACTGTGATCAGGCTTTAAATGGTGTGCAGTAAATAAGATATATGGCTACACACTGAAGGAAGATGAACAGAAATCTTGAATAGCTACCTATTCAGTGAGCACTGTCCATTTTGTGCACTGAATGAAGCAGGGATCTTGTGGAAAAATATATTATATGATCATGTACTTAAAAGACTGTATCATAATGCATACACAACAAGGGGGGCAAATTAACCCTGAAGCATGACATTTCCAGACCTAACTTTTGAGTGCTTGAATTTGCAACCTTACAATTTATTTAACATAGATTTTTGTGTAATTTCATTATGTCCCCATAGTGTGAAATACCTCACCCATTAACTCTTCTGGTTATTTGCATGTTTTTGATATCTCCAAAACATTTCCAATAATGGGGTTATACCAGGGGTCGGCAATGTTCGGCACGCGGCTTGCCAGGGTAAGCACCCTGGCGGGCCGGGCCAGTTTTATTTACCTGCTGACGCGGCAGGTTCGGCCGATCGCGGCCCCCACTGGCCGCGGTTCGCCGTCCTGGGCCAATGGGGGCGGCGAGAAGCCGCGGCCAGCACATCGCTCACCTGCGCCGCTTGTTGATCTGGGTACTGGTGTCCTTCTTAAGGCCTCTGTCTTATCTTGCAGAGATTAATCTGTCAAAGGTTGCCGATCCCTGGCTTACAGTATAGGCTACCTAACGGGACTCCAAAACTTGTGGACTAAGGCACGGAGCGCCTGTAGTACCATGTTTGGCCCCAGAGAGGGCACTATGGAGCAACCCTGCTTGCCACAACTTGGTACTTCTGTCCATGGAGGAGAGCATATGACTCTGGTTCAGTAGCAGCAGGTTCAGGCAGAGGCCCAGCAACTTTTACTGGAAGTACAAGAGGAGGCCTGGTGAACTACCCAGCTGCAACAAGCTGTGCTCCTTGAGCTACTGCAGCAGCAATTCCCAGAGGCTATGCTCAAGCAGAAAAATGGTCAGTCCTATTCCTAAGTGTTGCCGTCGGGGCGAGGCACAGCCCTTTGCAGATTGGAACCCACTGATGATCCTGAGATGTACCTTGTAACATTTGAGTAGATGTCTCTTGCCCATCACTTGGAAGAGACTAACTGAGTTGCGTGTCTAGCTCCTTTTCTTTCTGGGGAAGCTCAGGTGGCTTACCAGGCCTCAGGTGATGAAGCTGCAAAGTAGTACGATATCGTGAAAGTCACCATTCTTGTCCTCTGGGGGGTATCACTAGAGATTTACCGGCGCCAGTTCCAGACAGAAACTTTCTCACTTGGGGCATGATCCTAGGTTGTGCCCCAGCAGCTAAAGAATTAGGCCACCCGCTAGCTTTGTTCTCCATCCGAGATCATAGAGTCTGTGTGTTCAAACAGTATCTAGAGGTTTTGCTGGCTGCCATTCAAACCTAGGTACACCAACACAACCCAGCATACTGACAGCTGCCCCCAACTCAGGGGACTTTGTCAGAAAGTTGGCCTGTCCAGTGTGAGTGACCTAGGCCTAGTGAAGCCTGGCCCCAATCTTCTGAGGAATCAACCCAGGGCACCAGAAAAGGGCAGAGAGCTCCTGGAGTAGTCCCAGAATGAGGGGTACCCACTTGGTAGACCCCAGAAGGCATCCTGCAACCACTGTAAGGGCTGTCAGAGGGGGATGCATGGAGTCATTCCCAGAAGCAGGCTAAGGTGCTTTCCCTTATCAAATGGTCATAGATTCATAGATTCTAGGGCTGGAAGGGACCTCGAGAGGTCATCGAGTCCAGTCCCCTGCCCGCATGGCAGGACCAAATACTGTCTAGACCATCCCTGATAGACATTTATCTAACCTACTCTTAAATATCTCCAGAGATGGAGATTCCACAACCTCCCTAGGCAATTTATTCCAGTGTTTAACCACCCTGACAGTTAGGAACTTTTTCCTAATGTCCAACCTAAACCTCCCTTGCCACAGTTTAAGCCCATTGCTTCTTGTTCACCTTAGCCTCTAAGGATAGAACAAGTTTTCTCCCTCCTCCTTACGACACCCTTTTAGATACCTGAAAACTGCTATCATGTCCCCTCTCAGTCTTCTCTTTTCCAAACTAAACAAACCCAATTCTTTCAGCCTTCCTTCATAGGTCATGTTCTCAAGACCTTTAATCATTCTTGTTGCTCTTCTCTGGACCCTTTCCAGTTTCTCCACATCTTTCTTGAAATGCGGTGCCCAGAACTGGACACAATACTCCAGCTGAGGCCTAACCAGAGCAGAGTAGAGCGGAAGAATGACTTCTCGTGTCTTGCTCACAACACACCTGCTAATACATCCCAGAATCATGTTTGCTTTTTTTGCAACAGCATCACACTGTTGACTCATATTTAGCTTGTGGTCCACTATAACCCCTAGATCCCTTTCTGCCGTACTCCTTCCTAGACAGTCTCTTCCCATTCTGTATGTGTGAAACTGATTTTTTCTTCCTAAGTGGAGCACTTTGCATTTGTCTTTGTTAAACTTCATCCTGTTTAACTCAGACCATTTCTCCAATTTGTCCAGATCATTTTGAATTATGACCCTGTCCTCCAAAGCAGTTGCAATCCCTCCCAGTTTGGTATCATCCGCAAACTAAGGAGGGGGAGGGTTGTCGGCCTCGAACTAATGCCCAGAGTGACCAGGAGAAGGCACCAGCTCAGTGGTGAGTGATGTGCCCTGACACACCTCCGTAGTCAAAGTCAGGGATGGAAAAGGAGTGGGAAAGGGCACACCCCTGCAAATGTTGATTGGTCTTTCCAACAGTTCAGTCAGGAAAGCACTCTTGCAGATACGTGAATTGGAATGTCCAAAGAATACGTGATTGGATGATACACAGACTTCAGCCATCCCTGTAAGCATCTGAGGTGAAGACTGTCCGATGCTGATCTCTACTTGATACCTGGAATGGTCACAGACAACTCAATCGTCCAGATAAGGGAATCTCAGAATGCCAATGTTTCTGAGGTGAGCTGCTATTACTGCCGTGCATTTGGTAAACACCCTTAGGGCAGATGACAGACCAAAAAGGAGGACAGTATATTAGCAATGAAGACCTACAAACTTCAGGTACTTTCTATGGCTTGGATGGTTTGTCAAATGAAAGCAGGCATTTTGGAGATTGAGAGCAGCATACCAGTCACTGGAATTGAGAGATGGAATGATGGATGCCAGGGGAGCATGTTGCTGAAGCTCTTGGTCTAACCTCAGCACGGAGCAGATCCTGAGGAAGGTTCTTAGAGACACTTCAGTGTCCTTTTTAAGACACGAAGTGCTCTTTTTGGGTTTTGTGACAGATTTAGGTCTCAATTCTTTGCAAAAGGAACCCAGAGACAGGGAGTACTTCCTCTTTTCACAGTGGGAGGATTAAGCTTTTTCAGATTTTTGAGAGAAGTGGAGAGGCACTTCCAGCAGGACAGGTATGGGATTTTATGGTCTCAGACACCTCACAAGAGGGGCAATGAGTAAATGCCAGAGATCCTGGCATAACCTCTCAGTCTGAAAGGAAGAGATCTCTCTTTGCAGGGTGCAGAAAAAAAAACCATAAAATGATTAAACAATAAAGAATTGTTAAAATGGGTACTACTATCTCACTGCACTTATGAATGATCTGTTTACAAAAGAGAAACATCTCAATATGAGAGAGAAAACCATGACAGAGCACAAGGAGTTTCTCACTGCCTCTGGCTGCTTGTTAGAAGAACTGAAGGAGGGGTTGGAGTGGGTCACCCTGTATACCTCATGGCCCCAGGCGAACGAAGTGCAGAAAGCATATTCCACCCTGACAGGTACTACTACAGAGAACTGTCTGGCTCAACTGCACTGGGCATAAACACACCTAAGTGGAAGAGATGTGCAATCACTCGAAGAATTAATCTTTTTTTAAAAAGGTGGGGGGAGGAGAGATACTCTTCAGAACGATACACTGATTTAAAAACAATGGTTTCAAATAATTTTTTAAAAATAACACTGTAATAAAGCAAACATGCTACTAATAAGAGAAAGATAAGAATATTTAATTAAAATTAAGCAAATATGGCGCAGAAATGCTTGGTTACCCAAGCCAGAGTACTGTAACAATCTAGAATATGAAGACAAATCTGAATGGGCAGACTATTTATGGACACGTCTCTAATTTTCTCATACATGTTATCCACTGAATAATTACTTGGTCCATAACATCTTTGTTCTGTTTCCATGCCCTTAACAACTTAACGTTTCAAACCAAGATTTATTAACTATATATTGTAGATTGAATTTATAAAAGAAAGTAAATTATAAAAATACAAAATCTTACTTGGCATCTTGTAAAAAAGTCTTTTCCCACTGCCATCATTGGTCTGTAAATATTTACTGTCTGAAGACCAGTCCATATGAGTGATGAAACTTACAGATCCAACACATTCCCCAACTTTTTTGTACCGCTGAACAACACCATAAATATCAACAGAGCTGTCATTGGAGCCAACCGCAAGAAAAGTCCCATCTGGTGAATATTTTAATTCATGAATGGCTTCTTTCCTGTCTTTAATATGAACAACCTCTGTCATATCCCTGTAGTGGAGAAAGAAAATGTGTCACAAGCATAAAAGAGAATGTCATCATGTTGTCAAGCTCACAGTTTCAAGAATGTGCCTGACAAAATCTTCTTCTGAATTCAGAAATTTTACTATTTCTTGTACAAATGTAATTTTCTTAATATGCTTTCAGAGTAACAACATAAATAGCCTGTGAACCTGTGTTTGAAATTTAAGTTTAAATGCTTCCTTAGCATGTTTTCTACATAAAACAAAGAAATATGCATAAATTACTTAAGAAAAAGTTTATAGTTTGTTTATAGTTTTCCAATCTTTGTACCTACCTGACTCGAAGTACAGTGAAAGAGCCATCCTTCATTCCAAGTGCAAGATGGATTCCATCAGTACTAACAGCTGCACAGCGAATTGGTTCTTCCATATTGCACCGTGCAATCAATGCATGGTCTATTAAGCTCCAAATTCTAAAATAAAATATTAAATAAAATCATATAAGGAATGGCTGTTTTCTGATTTTAAAAAAGTGAAGATTTCAACTTAATAGAATATATTCTGAATGCAGCACTGCACCTATATTCTGAAGTCATTTGCTATCAACTTCCAAAACTAACAAGCTTTGCATACAGCAATGAGTGCCTGTATATTTAAGAGTACGATTGAGTACCTAATTTGTGAAACTGCAGAGGCAGACTCATTTTGTTAAGTACTTAACAAAGAACAGTACTTATTTCCAAAACCTGAATTTTCTGTTGCTTAAAGTGTATACTATTCATTTAGTTAAAGATTATTGAATGAACAACTGAAAATTTTACAATACAAATGCCTCCCTTTCTATTATTTATCATTCATAATGTAGCACAACTTTCTGTATGTGACCAGATATCAATATAATTTCTAACTTATACTAATCATGCCTTTTCAAGAATGGAATTTTACAATAGTGTGTCAATTAATTTTTTATTACATTAGTGCATCTCCTAGCAGATTAGCAAAAAGGACACTACATTTTAATTTAAAAAATGTTTAAAAAAACTATGTAAAGGAGAATAATTTACTAGGATTTATTGGACTGTAGCCTTATTTAACAAATGTCACAAGTCAGATATGCAATTCTATCACATTTAAAAAAAACAACCATGATGTGAATAAGAATTATAAGTACTGTACCACATCAGCCCAAAAGAAGGCATCTCAGTAATGCCTGATATAGGTTGGATGAAAGGTTCACTAAAGACATCAGTCAAAATTATTTAATTTGGGAGTTGTGGATGCTTCACAGCACCTCTGAAACTTAAATCACTTCTTAGATACTCAAATATAAATTTAGGTGTGTGACTTTAGTTACCCAAGTTTGAAAATGTTGGCACTCATTTTATTTACTGTCATTGACATTATGAAAGTAATCCCTTCCACCATTTGAGTTCAAATTAAGGCCTTGATTTCCATTTTGAAAACTACCCATTTCTGCCACTGTTTTCAGACCTCCATCAGCAAAGTAATCAGTATCTACAGTTACAAGAATAAATTATGTTGGTTCAATACCACAATATGACATGCCATAAATCATTTTGCATTTTTACATTTCAATTATGTTTTTCTAAAGATGAAGTCTCCTCTATAAAGCTATACATAATCTGGGTGGGGAGCTTTAGTTTGGTGTATTATTGTTGGTCATTTTGTTGTTGGGGGAGTGGGGAGCATTGTTGTTGTTGCTAACCTGACTGATCGGTCATCACTTCCAGTCATGGCCAACGGTTTTGTAGGATGGACTGCCAGAGCCCATAGCTCTCCTTCACAGTGCCCCTGCATGATCAGGAAAGGCTTATTGCGTTCATGCACAACAATCTCAAAAATTTCACTGTCTTGTGTCCCAACTAGAATATGGTCTCCTCGCCAGCAAACACTTCTTACAGACAGACCTATGGGAAAATATATGTATATGCACTTTGTTATGAACCACTTAAAATTTCACATAGATAGCATAGCTGTCAAAACCACAAAAGAAAGAAAACAACCAGAAATTAACCTGCATAATAAATACCATCTTACTCTTTCAGCCATGGACAAACTTTTTACCACAACAGACCAGACATCCATCACTACCTTAGGGATGCCAGCCTCCACCTCTTGCATTGCCATAAATCTAATAAGGAAGAGTGAGCCTTGCATATTGGAGAGCAGAGTAAAGAAAGGTGTAGTCAAATCTTAACATAACAGAAGCATGATCCAGCACATTGACATTTGCACATAAAAGTGTGCATTTTAATCCATCTAATTCCTAACATATACAGTAATATACTGAATATGAGTCACGTAGCTCAACTTCTAATCAAAGGGCACACTCATATTTCTGACGGAGCTGGCAGAGACTACATGAACGACATCAACAGAAATATCAATGGGATGTGTTATTCTTAGCTTTCATAAGAATTACAGATAAGCAGAAAGTTAAAGGAAAATGTCATTTCATCTCACAAGCTTGTCTACCCAAGGTTGCCTTCCACAATCATCAACACAACAACCAATGTATCACCTGATTATCAGAAGAAGCTAATCAAGTTGAAAGAGTGAAAAATAGATCCTACTGGCAACAATATATAGAGTAGGGTGAGCTTGGGGACTGGTCTACATATTTTGGTACCTAAATATGTAACCTAATTTTCAGTGGAGTTGAGCACTCACAAGTTACACTGAGCTCAGGGGAGTTGAAGGTGACCAGCTATTCTGAAAACCAGATCACTTTTATTTAGTTTCCCGAATATGGATTTAGGTGCCTAACTCTAGGCATGTCAAAATTCTTAAATTTTGACTTTAGTCGATAGTGTCTACTATACAAGCAATTTTACCAGTTTCAGCTTTGTCTCAGTCCTTTTGGCAGTGGGCATCAGAGAGGAGTGAGTTTGCCCAAGGATTTTGTAGGCTCCAAGATGGCATCGTTAATAGGTAAAGCCACTCAAGCAGGACACACAGTATGCAAAATATCCACTAACTTGTGTGGATTGCCCTGGACTAGTGCTACCTGAAAACCAAGGGAGGTGGCTATATTCTTCATAAGTTCCTGTTATGTTATATAATCATCCAAAAATGGGGAGAATCATTCAGAGACAGTGGCCGCATCTAGGGAGAAGCAAATGGGTAGATAAGCACTATAGTGTACCTCTGTTCTGCAGTCTCCTGAATCTTTGCACTGGAAGGGTCAGCTGAAGGAAACAACTGAAGGAAGCACATCCTCTGCTTACTGGGTACTGGGATCGGTACTGAGATTGGTATCAGGTACAGTATATTGCCTTGATGAAGATTTATTGGTACATGGTGTGACGTTATATGATTAAAATATAACCATGTAGATCATTGTTGCTACCACTGTTATATAATTGCAACAAATCTTGTACAAAGTGTGTCAAGTAAGGTGTCAATAGAAAAGTTATGGTTTGCAGAATATGATTATCCTATTTTTATGCATATATCCTTTTTGTATCTGAAGTTATGAATATTGATTATGTACCTGTATTTCAAATATGTTTGCTCCAGTGGTATCACCCACAGGGTAATTTTCATCCAGTCTGGCCAGCATATTGTGAAGGGACTATTCAAATTGAATGGCCCATCAAAGAACACTTAACTCACAATGGACCATAGAAGAGGCTTATTCACACCTGATGGACTTTCTTGTGAACGTTCTAGAGTATGGATAATGGCCTCTGCTATGACTCAGCGAAGCATGCAATGGCATGTGACTAGATCATGTGACCAGTTCATGTGACCCTAAACGCCATCTTGTTACCTGTATTTTTCCACAAACTGGGCTGAGGGCTTTGTTTCGAACAATGGGTTTCCCTCCACAGGGCAGAAGCTATAAAAGTCCCTGGAAACATTTCCATTTTGCCTCTTTCCTGCTCTGATCTCTGAACTATCGACTTACCCATTCTAACCAAGGGACTGAGGACCTTCCAATCATTTGGGAGCAACCAGAGACTTAACAAACCAGCAGTTTATTTCATCACTGCTTCAAGAACCTTGCAATTATTGTATGTATTTGATTCCTTTAGCCAAATTTAACTCTCACCTCTTTCTTTCTTTTTATAAATAAACCTTTAGATATTAGATACTAAAGGATTGGCAACAGCATGATTAATGGGTAAGATCTGAGTTATATATTGACCTGGATATGTGGCTGGTTCTTTGGGATCAGAAGAACCCTTTGGTTGATGAGATTGGTTTTAAATAACTACTCATCATTAAGTCTAGTGTCTGGGTGTTGAATCCAGGACTGGAATACCTAAGAAGGCTGCATTTCTGACTTCTTGTTAGCCAGTGTGGTGAGACAGAAGTTTACTTTTGTTGCTGGATTGGTATGTCTTATGGAAGAATAATCACCAGTTTTGGGGTGTATCTGTCCTATTTCTCAGCAGCATGTCCTGAATTTAGTATTCTCAGTTGTGACCCACTGAGGCATGGTGACACATGGTCTAGGCAATGAGGACCTAGAGTCCAGAGGAACCACACAAGAATTTCCAAAAATGCTACTGTTGGAACAGATACAGTACCGGGACCAGCTGCAAGGCATCCTGTCCCTGGACCTGCTCCTATAAGAATGATGGTACCAAGATTTTGATTTGTATGAAGAGGAACAAAGAGAGGCTCTAGTCCTTCTGTAATGGGATACTAATGAAACTCCTCCCATATCAGCAATGAATCTAAAACTGAGAGGGAAAGAAGGTCCCTGACTGCAACATAGGTCTCAGGTGTTGTTGTACCAAGAGCATAGTGTGTACCACAGATGAAATCAAAGCTGTTAAAGGTCCTGGCAATAGAGTCAATCTCAGTGGTACTGAAAGTGGTGCCAGAAGCAACAACTTGACATTCCTAGACAACAAATACGGTATTGGGGAACATTTAGCTAGGGGTGGCTTATTTCTAAACTCAGTACCAGACTTTTTTCTGTGAGTCTCTGTCAGTGACCTGGCTCTCAAAAAGGAATTGGGCTTCTTCTGGCTAGGGGCATTCAAAGTGTCCATCTTCTGGTGTTTACACAGTACCAAAGAAGGAGAATGCCTTTTGTCTGGTTCCCTCTGATGAGGGATCCCTCTAATTCCAGCAGTGCATTTTGAGATAGAGTAGAATGCGAACCCCCACATACCGGCTGGGTTCCAAGTGAGAGTGCAAAGCTGCCCCCATCAGGATATGGTGAAAATGAACTTACCTCAACTTCTTGGCCCTCGTCTTAAACCCTCTACAGAAAGGGCACTTCAGCCTTACATGACCTTCTCCTAAATACTTCAAACATCTAGAATGAGGGTTGATAACTGGCATAGGTACATTACAGACAGAATAGAGTTTAAATCCTGGGGATTTAGACATACTCCTGTACTGAGCTTTAAGCCTGAAGAATATTATATAGATAAATAAAAAAAAATAAACAAATTTCTAAAACAAGTACCATAAGCTATCACTGTAATCAACTAACAAACTATGTACAATAGAAACTAGAAAAAAATTCTCTTAGAGAAGGGAAAAAGTGTGACAAGCACACACATTCTCCCATTACCAACTACGAACTGTAAAAAGGAACCGAAGGGGATTTTCCCCTTTATACACTTAGTTAGCAGCATGAGCGTGCAGAGGGCGCAGGCACTATCCCAACAGGTACCATTCTGAGAAAAAAGTTTTCTGACTTCAGTGTACTGGCATGCACATACCTAAAGTGGAATGGACGTGTGCAAGCACTCAAAGAAGAAACTATGTACCCTCTGCATGAAAGTCTCTTTAGGAGATGCTCAGGACTCAGGTCTAGCTGGCCTGCTTCTTCTGGGGGGCAAGTTGAGAGAGGAAGATAAGTGGGAGAGAGGCCCCCGCCCTCCAACTCAATAAAAATATCTAGAGGAAATTCCACAAATGGAATATTGTGGCATTTTCCAACCTCACCCAAGGGTTCCTCCCATGGATTTTTCCAACATGGAGAATATAATTGGGCCCAATAGCTTCTGTTGTTATTACTACTACTATTTTGAAGATAACAGGGAAAAACAGCGAAGAACAAACTCGGGGAAATCTGTCTAACACCCACCCCTGGAAAACTCTTTAAAGTGTTTTGGTAGTTAGTTGTGTTGTTGGTAAACCACTCTTTGAATTTAAAAATAAAACTTCTTTGTTGTACACAATAAGCTAACAAATATGAGATTATCTGATGTCAATTGGAAAAAAATCTCCCCGTTATTCAATATTAGAGTTGAATGTTCAGATGTAAACAAAGATAAAAACATCATGCTTACAGAGAAATTCTACCAATAACTCATTTTTATAGGTAAGATACAATAAATTATATTAGAGGTGGAAATTAAATACTTGTTTTTTTTTAAAATGGTGCTATGTGATATAACCTAAGAGTCATTTTGTGAAGTTGGAAAACCAGAAGTAGGATATCTTTAAATTAGCCTTTAGGAATAGTCAGATGGAAGACAAGAGTTTTAGCCAGATTAAAAAGCTGAAAGTTGACAACACAATCATCTGGGTACACTTGATGAAGTAGAGCTTGTCTACACAGTAACTTAGTCTGCACCAGCTGAGGTATAAATTGTAATGCACACCAATGTTGCCCACACTAACTGGCCTGGCCTACGTGGATCCTAGCACACCAAAAGTTCTTTAGTGTGTGTTAATGTAGTCCTGTTTCAAACAGTAACATTATCGCAGAGTAGGGAACTTTTAGTGCATGCCAGTAAGGTCCACTTGGGCAAGTTAGTGTGCAACATGCTGGTACAAAGTAAAATTTACACCCCAGCTATTGTGGACTAAAGCACCTTAGAGACTAAACAATAGAAAAACAACAATTTTAAGAATATTGGAAATGAAAAGTGATAGAAATACTTAATTCTGCTTTTGAACATCCAAATTAATTAGATGAGGGAATGAAAAACCCTCAATAATAAGGGCTTTGAAGAGCACAGAATTATTAAAACTTCTCAATAGGAGTGGTGAGACTTATATTCACTGTCTCCTAGTGCCCAACCCAATGCACTTTCCTCTAGGTGAACGGGATTTTTAATGAGGGAAAGCAGGAGCAAAAAGGTCTGCAGCAGGATCCATCCAGAAGTTCAGGTCTGTGTGGCTGTCTCAGAACAATACAGAAAGCTCAGTGAAGCCTGGGAGCAAATGCAGTGCAGTTGGAACATTCAGAAAATTATGAGGTCAACTGATAAATTCTACTGAGCATGTACAAATGGTGACTTTTTGCAGATTTTAACTCTTCCAAATCTGGGCAGATTTTTACAACTACCAGCAAGATGCCATTCTGGTCTCAGGACTATCCCTCTGCCAAATGTCAAGATTTTGCCTTTCTTGCAAATCACTACCTAATTCTTAAAAATGGCCACACTGTTTTTTTTCCACAGTTTAAAAAAAAAAATTTTTTTTAAATTTAACAAGAGACAATTGACAACAATAAGCGTTTGGTGACCTCAATACAGAAGTCACTACTGCACTACTTATGTTTTTCTTTTTCTAAAATAGAAAGATGTGTAATTTTGTTAGTGAGAAAATAACACTTGAATTAGAGAAATCAGTGGGAGAAAAAGAGGGAAGATATTTTCTAATAAGAGGTTTTTTAGAAGGGAAAATAGTGATAACTGAAGTTCAGAGACAATTGTCATATTATTCTGAATATTAGTTGCATTTTCAAAAGAAGAAATAATAGAAAATTTTAATGTTAAAATTTGATTCAATAATATACAGATCTACTTAAAATCTAACTCAGAGCACTGGAACATATCTTAAGAATCATATTAGAAATAATGGGTTAACAAATGCTTGAAGATGGAAACACAGTAGAGAACAACTATACTTTTCTCATTAATTCTTACAAACAGGGCCGGCTCCAGGCACCAGCACACCAAGCATGTGCTTGGGGCGGCGCCTGGAGGGGAGCGGCGCGGCGGGGCCCTGGCCGGGCTCGCCGCCCTCCCCCTGGCGCTCTGGCCGCTGGGGAGAACGGAGAGCCCCGGCCGGGCTCGCCGCCCTCCTCCCGGCACTCTGGCCACCGGGGGCTCTCCGCCCTCCCCCCGGCGCTCTGGCCGCTGGGGAGAACGGAGAGCCCCGGCCGGGCTCGCCGCCCTCCCCCCGGCGCTCCGGCCGGTCGGGGATTGCGGCCTGCGGCCGGGCTCGGCGCCCTCCCGTGCCGTGCTGGGGAGGCGGGGGGCAGCGGCGGGTGGCTTTTTTGCCTAGGGCGGCAAAAAAGCCAGAGCCGGCCCTGCTTACAAAATACACTTAAAATTAGATTAGCTCTTTCTAAATCAAAGGTAAAGATCTAATAATAAAGACATTACTTGGAACCCAGATTGGGCTTTAAATGGGAACTTAATGCATTATTATAGGATGTAATAATAAGTAATATTCCTGGAGGCATCTCCCATAACATAAAGTGGGTATCAGAAATAATTAAACAGGTTTAAAAAGCACTAGACAGAGAAGGAGTGAACAAATTAATGAAGGAATTGTTAGAGTTAGAAAGAGAACAGGTAGAAAGATATAAAATGGTCTTCTTTTAGATAGAGGTATCAAGATATTTGCTAAGTAGACTTTCAAAGTCTATAGCAGGAGTTAATCTTTGCAATCATTTCAAACAGTGGTGGCCCTTTCAACCTATGCATAAGAGTAATGGCGAATGAAAGAAAAAATTATAAAACTTTTTGTGAACTTGTAAATTCCTTTTTTTTTTTTTTACATTGAGGTATATGAGCAGGTATCCTTATCTGTGCTGTAACATCTTTCTATGAAATGCCATGTTCACAAAGTTCTACTGATGAAATTTCAGTAATTTCTGGCAGGTGATGCTAGTCTTATTTAAGATATCTGAAACCCTTAATCTTGTTGAATGCTAGACTGAAACAAGGGAAGAAGCAGCAAAAGAAAGCCTTTAAAAAATAAAAAAATAAATAAAAAGAGCTATTGTCCAAATCCCTGCCTTTCCCCTGGAAAGGAAGTAGGGGGAAAGCAGAGATTTGAAAACATTTGGCTCTTGCTTAGAGACTCTGATTACGGTTGCTAGGATACTGGTCAAAAAGGGAACTGGGCACTGCTGACCAGACACGAAAAACCAGGTTACCTGCAGTAACTGGTCTCTGCCACTGGGGGGCAGGAAGCGAAGCAGCTGCAGTTGGAATCTGGAGGAGCAGTGGAGCATTCAGGAATGGCTCCAGCAGAGAGAGGTACCAGCAGCTCCCCCATCCTGCCCCAAGCGTAGCTCTCCCTGCCCCACTCACCCTTCCACCCCCAAAGCATGGCTCTCCCTGCCCCATCCTGCCTCACTCACCCCTCCACCCCTGGAGCGCAGCTGTCCCTGCCCCATCCTGCCTCAGTCAACCCCTTTCTCCTGGAGCCTGTCTCTCTCTCCAATATCATGCCCCAATCACCCCTCCATCCCTACAGCCCTGCTCAGCTGGCAGAGGGAGGGTGGCGGAGAAAGCAGCGAGCAGTGGGGCAGGGGGGGAGAAGAGGAGCGGTGGCAGGGCCTCAAGGGAAAGAGGTAGAGCAAGGGGCGGGGGAGGTTCTGGCACTCAGTGTCCAGTTTTCACAACTTAGAAAGTTGGCCACCCTAACTGTGGTAGTTCTTTTTCTTGAACTGTCTCAGTCATGAGAAACTCACTGTCCACTCCAGGTCATTTTAAATGGACCGCAACCCATCTTGTCAGGATATCTCAGAATCTTAGTGGGGATGCTAGGTCAATTACAGTTCAAAAATAGTATGTTTATTTTACTGTGTGTGAGAGCAGTTATTTATTGATACTAATATATTTGGCTAGCTCCAATCATCCTTCAATGTACTGGGATCTTGCACAATTGTAAAAAATGACAAGGTCAAGCAGCTTCAGCAATTGGCTGAGAGGCCTGCAACAGAAGTGCTGCTGACAGTGATGGTATGTTTCAGTATGTCTGTACTCTTTTCATGAGATAGTACTGAATCAGTATCTTAGGACAATATTAGAAACAAATATATTGCTGGAAGTGCCTCCTTTTCAATGTGTCATAAAACTGAGGACTTGAGATTATTTCATCTGATATGGCACCTTTGTGGTTATGTCTGACCAGTGCTGAGTGTATAAGTGCTATTATTGTTAGAAAAATTTCAGCACAGCTAGTTGCAATATGTCTATCAAAATGCCCTCTGCAATTTCTGTTTCAGTACACTAGTCCTCATTTTCTGTCCTATATTGTTATACAGTGTTACTGCATACCGTGAAAAAGCTGCTGTGTTAAAACATAAGAGTGGCTGCATCTCAGCGGTAAGAAAAGTTTTCCCTCTATGTGCTGTAACTATTTCACAAAACTGTTGTGAGTCTTATTGAATGTATGAAGTGCTTTGTGATCCCCAGATGAACGGCCATTATAGAACTGCAAATTATTAATTCTTATAGTGCAAACAAATTCTTCATATTAATATACATATAAATTTATAAAACATTTCCATTAACTTTTTTTTAAACAGGCACTACTTTTTCAATCTATGAAGAACTTCCTCTTTGATGGTGTAACAAAAATGATAAGACTATTTTACCTTTATATCCCTGGTCTGTCTCCCTGAGATCAATCACAGTAATTGGTTTAAAATTTAAATCCCATAGACGAACACAGCCATCCCTGCCACCAGTGGCAAAACCCTCCTCACATGCATTCATGCTGAAAATTCCTGCCTAAAAAGAAGAAAAAAGAGTTTAAAAATATGCACAGTTTACAGTTACTATAATGCAAAGCAAAATTCTTCTTCATAGTGATAGAAATATTTTCCCTTTTGTTATATCATAGAAGGCAACATAAATTATACAAGTACTGTTTTATAACTGAGTCAGAATAAATGTAATAATTAAAGAACAATTTTTAGTATTATGGATTTTCTCCCAATGTTGTAATGAAAATGAAAGTGGTACAGAAAGAACTTCATAAGAACATAAGAATGGCCCACTGGGTCAGACCAAAGGTCCATCTAGCCCAGTATCCTGTCTTCCGACAGTGGCCAGTGCCAGGTGCCCCAGAGGGAATGAACAGAACAGGTAATCATCAAATGATCCATCCCCTGTCACTCATTCCCAGCTTCTGGCAAACAGAAGCTAGGGACACCATTCCTGCCCATCCTGGTTAATAGCCATTGATGGACCTATTCACCATGAATTTATCTAGTTCTTTTTTGAACCCTGTTATGGTCTTGGCTTTCACAACATCCTCTGGCAAGGGGTTCCAAGGTTAATTGTGCATTGTGTGAAGAAATACTTCCTTTTATTTGTTTTAAACCTGCTGCCTATTAATTTCATTTGGTGACCCCTAGTTCTTGTATTATGAGAAATAGTAAACAACATTTCCTTATCTACTTTCTCTACACCAGTCATGATTTTATAAACCTCAATCATATCTCCCCTTAGCCGTCTCTTTTCCAAGCTAAAAAGTCACAGTCTTATTAATCTCTCCTCATACGGAAGCCGTTCCATACCCCTAGTCATTTTTGTTGCCCTTTTCTGAATCTTTTCCAATTTTTTGAGATGGGGCGACCACATCTGCACACAGTATTCAAGATGTGGGCATACCATGGATTTATATAGAGGCAACATGATATTTTCTGTCCTATTATCTATCCCTTTCTTAATTATTCTCAGCATTCTGTTCTCTTTTTTGACTGCCGCTGCACATTGAGTGGATGATTTCAGAGAACTATCCACAATGACTCCAAGATCTCTTTCTTGAATGGCAACAGCTAATTTAGACCCCATCATTTTATATGTATAGTTGGGATTATGCTTTCCAATGTGCATTATTTTGCATTTATCAACATTAAATTTCATCTGCCATTTTGTTGCCCAGTCACCCAGTTTTGAGAGATCCTTTTGTAGCTCTTCGCAGTCTGCCTGGGTCTTAACTATCTTTAGTAATTTTGTATCATCTACCACCTCACTGTTTACCCCTTTTTCCAGATCATTTATGAATAAGTTGAATAGGATTGGACCTAGGAATGACCCTTGGGGAACACCACTAGTTACCCCTCTCCATTCTGAGAATTTGACCATTTATTCCTATCCTTTGTTCCCTGTCTTTTAACCAGTTCTCAATCCATGACAGGACCTTCCCTTTTATCCCATGACAACTTAATTTACGTAAGAGCCTTAGGTGAGGGACCTTGTCAAAGGCTTTCTGGAAATCTAAGTATATTATGTCCACTGGATCCCCCTTGTCCACGTTTGTTGACCCCTTCAAAGAACTCTAATAGATTAGTAAGACATGATTTCCCTTTACAGAAACCATGTTGACTTTTGCCCAACAATTTATGTTCTTCTATGTGTCTGACAATTTTATTCTTTACTATTGTTTCAACTAATTTGCCCGGTACTGATGTTAGACTTACCGGTCTGTAATTGCCGGGATCACCTCTAGAACCCTTTTTAAATATTGGCCTTACATTAACTATCTTCCAGTCACTGGGTACAGAAGCCGATGTAAAGGACAGGTTACAAACCATAGTTAATAGTTCCGCAACTTCACATTTGAGTTCTTTCAGAACTCTTGGGTGAATGCCATCTGGTCCTGGTGACTTGTTAATGTTAAGTTTATCAATTAATTCCAAAACCTCCTCTAGTGACGCTTCAATCTGTGACAGTTCCTCAGATTTGTCACCTACAAAAGCCAGCTCAAGTTTGGGAATCTCCCTAACATCCTCAGCCGTGAAGACTGAAGCAAAGAATCCATTTAGTTTCTCCGCAATGACTTTATTGTCTTTAAGCGCTCCTTTTGTATCTCGATCATCCAGGGGCCCCACTGGTTGTTTAGCAGGCTACCTGCTTCTGATGTACTTAAAAAACATTTTGTTATTACCTTTTGAGTTTTTGGCTAGCCGTTCTTCAAACTCCTCTTTGGCTTTTCTTATTACATTTTTACACTTAATTTGGCAGTGTTTATACTCCTTTCTATTTACCTCACTAGGATTTGACTTCCACTTTTTAAAAGATGCCTTTTTATCTCTCACTGCTTCTTTTACATGGTTGTTAAGCCACAGTGGCTCTTTTTTAATTCTTTTACTGTGTTTCTTAATTTGGGGTATACATTTAAGTTGGGCCTCTATTATGGTGTCTTTAAAAAGCGTCCATGCAGTTTGCAGGGATTTCACTTTAGTCACTGTATGTTTTAATTTCTGTTTAACTAACCCCCTCATTTTTGCATAGTTCCCCTGTTTGAAATTAAATGCCACAGTGTTGGGCTGTTGAGATGTTCTTCCCACCACAGGGATGTTAAATGTTATTATATTATGGTCACTATTTCCACGTGGTCCTGTTATAGTTACCTCTTGGACCAGCTCCTGCGCGCCACTCGGGACTAAATCGAGAGTTGCCTCTCCCCTTGTGGTTTCCCATCCTAGCTGCTCCAAGAAGCAGTCATTTAAAGTATCGAGAAATTTTGTCTCTGCATTTTGTCCTGAGGTGACATGTTCCCAGTCAATATGGGGATAATTGAAATCCCCCACTATTTTGAGTTCTTAATTTTGATAGCCTCTCTAATCTCCCTTAGCATTTCATCATCCCTATCACTGTCCTGGTCAGGTGGTCGATAATAGATCCCTAATGTTATATTCTTATTTGAGCATGACATTACTATCCATAGAGATTCTATGGAACATGTGGATTCACTTAAGATTTTTACTTCATTTGATTCTACATTTTCTTTCACATATAGTGCCCCTCCCTCCCCCTCTTCTCCCCCCCCCTCCCCCGCATGACCTGTTCTGTCCTTCCGATATATTTTGTACCCCGGAATGATTGTGTCCCATTGATTGTCCTCAGTCCACCAGGTTTCTGTGATGCCTATTATATCAATATCCTCCTTTATCACGGGGGCACTCTAGTTCACCCATCTTATTATTTAGACTTCTAGCATTTGTGTACAAGCACTTTAAAAATTTGTCACTGTTTATTTGTCTGCCCTTTTCTGATGTATCCAATTCTTTATGTGAATGTTTCTCGTCTGATCTGGCCTTTACATTATCCTCTTCTCTCCTCTGCTCCTGACTATAACCTAGAGAATCTCTATCAATAGACTCTCCTCTAAGAGAAGTCTCTGTCCAATCCACATGCTCCTCTGCAGCAGTCGGCTTTCCCCCATCTCCTAGTTTAAAAACTGCTCTGCAACCTTTTTAATGTTAAGTGCCAGCAGTCTGGTTCCACTTTGGTTTAGCTGGAGCCCATCTCTCCTGTATAGGCTCCCCCCATCCCCAAAGTTTCCCCAGTTCCTAATGAATCTAAACCCCTCCTCTCTACACCATTGTCTCATCCACGCATTGAGACTCTGAAGCTCTGCCTGCTTACCTGGCCCTGCGCGTGGAACTGGGAGCATTTCTGAGAATGCCACCATAGAGGTCCTGGATTTCAGTCTCTTCCCTAGCAGCCTAAATTTGGCCTCCAGGACATCTTTCCTACCCTTCCCTATGTCATTGGTACCTACATGTACCAAGACCACCGGCTCCTCCCCAGCCCTACACATAAGTCTATCCAGATGCCTCGAGAGATCCGCAACCTTCGCACCAGGCAGGCAAGTCACCATACGGTTCTCCCGGTCATCACAAACCCAGCTATCTATGTTTCTAATGACCGAATCTCCCATTACTAACACTTGCCTTTTCCTAGTGACTGGAGTTCCCTCCCCCAGAGAGGTAACCTCAGTGCGAGAGGATACCCTAACACCATCTGGAAGGAGGGTCCCAACTATGGGAAGGTTTCCCTCTGCTCCTGTTGACTGCTCTGCTTCCCTGGGCCTTTCATCCTCCTCAACAGTGCAGGGGCTGTCTGACCGGAGGTGGGACAATTCTACAGTGTCCCGGAAAGCCTCATCAACATACCTCTCTGCCTCCCTTAGCTTCTCCAGTTCCGCCACCCTGGCCTCCAAAGTCCATACGCAGTCTCTGAGGGCCAGGAGCTCCTTGCACCGAATGCACACATACGCCACTCACCCACAGGGCAGGTAATCATACATGCTGCACTCAGCGCAATAAACTGGATAGCCCCCACTCTACTGCTGGGCTTCTGTCTGCATTGTCTCCTGCAGCTACCTAATTAATGAAAGGGTTTTGTTTAAATCAAAAAGTTTTTAATGTAGTTTAGTTTACAGGTATTAAAGAACAGCGAGTGAACCTTGCCCCCTTCCCAACTCCCTTGCGAAACTCCCTGTTAGCAGCCCCTGATCGCAAAGCTCCCTGGTCGCTTGCGCACTGCTTTATAAAGTCCTGGCCTTCTTGATAGCCCCACCCACTGACTAAGGCTCAGCCAATTAACAGAGGCTTCTAGCTTTCAAACATTACTTGGAAGCTCTCAGCTTCCAACTACCAGCCACAGCACACGGTCCTTCAAACAACCAAACAAACAGACAGACAAACACAAGCTCAGCACACAGCAAGTAACCCCCAAACACAAACACACACTTATTGATCCAAAAGTCATTTTCAAAAGTGACTCAGTCACTTAGGAACTTAAATTCCATTTTCAAATATGTGTACCATTTAGGCTCCTAAGTCACTTAAGAGCCTTTACAATTTTACCTTATCTCTATTTTTTAAATATATTTTAAACACTTAGTTACAAGCGAACAAAAGTAACACCAGATGAACATTTAAAAACAATCAAAGGTGACACCCTGGCACCACCTTATTCACCATTGTCATATA